CAGCGATTTTCGTGATTTCACCGCATCTGATTGGACAAAATTGGACAATTTTGAATTCGCAAGGTGACCTGCCTTGCGAATTCCAAAAAGAGATAGACACATGAAAAATAAAAATCATCAATACAAACTTGAAGCTATATTCAATTGAAACTATACAATTTCAGAATTATTTATGGAATTCGCAAGGTGGTTCACCTTGCGCAGCATACAAAATTGCCTATTTCACCTTGCTTTTTCTGGTTAATGAACGGTTTTCAGTCTTGGTTGAACGGTATCCAGATTATTATTGACAGTGGTCGACAGTCTCGAGGGTGCCTTTGGCCATAACTTTTCCTACAAAAACATAATCAAGAAAAGGTGAATACGAAAAATGTAGCGCTCCGAAGACGCTAAAAACGTACAAAACAATGTTATCTTGAAACCGCATACACCCTAAGATATCATTGTTCAAAATTTGAAAACCTGTCAAATTTCACCCTCATACCAAATACACTTTGACACACTATACAATCGCTGAAAAGGACAGGCAAAAACCCAATAAAACCTTCAAGCATTACACATGCAAAAACCCCCACGGAAACCCACCCAGCGAGCGACATCGACCGCGCCACTGCGTACGTAAAGATGGCTCGCTCCCGTTGGACGAATCGGGATACGTCTCAAAGAACGAGATTCTCGATATAATAATGGCCAATGCAGTTCTCCGCCAAGATGGAACCTCGGCAGCCGCCCGCCTACTGCACCGCAAGGAGCAACTAGTCCTACAAGTGTGGAAGGAGTTCATCCAGCGCGGCACCACCACGACTAAGCCCCAAGCATCACGGGACATGTCCCACCGCACACGACTGCCGGTGACGTCCGACCTGATTCAAGAATTCGTCCGCCATCGTCGTCAAGACCGACAACGCACCGTCGCCAAGGACGTTGCCTACTTTTTGCGGTCTGAAAACCGCCTGGATTTCGATCCGGAATCGGAATCCTCCACGCAGCATGTCCGATGATAATATTCAGCATCGTCATATGTATATTTCTGAAATGTGTGATGTTTTATCGGGCGATGTCAACCGACGGCCTGTTATATATTCGGATGAGAGTTATATTCATTACCATTATAGCCGGCATGATGATTCATTATTTGATCCGAATGATGACCTTGATGTTGAGTGAAAGAAAAACACAAAGGTGAAAGATTTTGTTTCATTGCTGCTATTCTAGACAGTGGTTGTATGGATAGCCGACTCTTATGCTTAGATATATTTCAAGGGGGAAAACGAACTGGAAGACCTGAAACAAAGGACTATCACGGAATGTTTGACCATGCATATTTTGTCTGTTGGTTTACCAAACTTCTTTTAGAAATAAGGGGTCGTGGATTGCAAAACGCTGTTATAGTAATGGACAATGCAAAATACCATAAAGGTCTCCCTACGGGTACACCTAAGTATGGACAAAAGAAGAGTGTCCTACAGAATGCTTGCACTACGTACGGCATTTCTTTCATAAATGATACGAAAGCTGCACTATGGAAAAAGCTTAGTGTGCATGTCGATAAGATTGACATCGAGGTTGTAACGCTGGTGCGTGCCGCAGGGCATGAAGTGGTTTACACACCACCTTACCACAGTGACCTTTTCAACCTATCGAGATGGTGTGGTCGACGCGAGTGACAGCGACGATGACAACAGTGATGACAGCAACGACAGCAACAGCGATAGCAGCAGTAGCGAGTCGGACAGTTCAGAATCAGGGAAGTAACATTTTTTCTCTCTTCTTATTGGTCGCATCTAAATATGCAGCTATGTTGTGGAAAGTTAGAAAAACTCTATATTACGATTCTTTTTTGGCAGGCACCCTCCAAGCTGTCGACTACTGTGAACGTTTTTCAGGGTTTGTTCACTTGGTCCGTCGTTTCCCACACATAAAAACTCTGATAATCGGAGCTCGTCGGCGTTATTCCAACACTGAACGCTATGAATCCAAGTACAGTTGACACGAACGTACCAATTGTATGGAGTTTTGTGCAACCATAGTATCGGTTTTCGTAGATTTACAGTTAGCAGCAACTTGAACATGCCCTCCGCAAATGTGTAGCTCTCCTGACCAATCTTACTAATATAAGAGCATCTCCACCGCATTCCAGTAAATCGACACACCAATATCCGCATAGTGTTCGGATAACAACCTCCAGTATTGTAATGGACTGATAATTCAGGATAATTCGCACCGCAAAAAGCCCATTTTCAGCCAGTAAATTCACCATCATTCCACCAGGTGCTATCAACCCGCGTTGATTTTGCCAATGAGGTATGCTTCACCTCCAGGAATGGCACGCAATGATGCGCATCATGCATGCATATGTACAAAGTTATCCTTATCACCAGGAATGGCATCAACTGCAGTTTCTCGTGAACAAGTAAACGGAGTACGGTGATATACAGACATAATAGGCATCTGCCAGCTCGATTGGACCCGCGCTATTGACCTTGGTAATGCAGCAGTCAATGGCGCGGGTCCTGTCGAGTTGTAGTCGATGACATGGGTCCTGAAACATTAACAACACGGCCACCTGTCGCGAAGACATACCCACCGACTGCCGCACGACTCTCGCCAATGCGGCAAGCCATGCAACTTCGACCGCCACAAGACAGACACCGCCAACCACGGCAGGATCGGCCTCGGACCGGGCTCGGACCGGCGCAAATAAGCAATCGATCGCATTCGCGTGCGTTCGATGCTGCCGCCTAACAGTAAACTTATCACGGCATCACGGCAGCATCGACCGTAGGCGAATGCGCTATTGGCCGCAACTGACCTACGCCGCAAGAGTCATCACCACATAAGTCATAAGCTATTGACTGCGGCATACATACCGTGCCAGGGCCGCCACGACTGCACCTCGACCTACCTGAGGCTTCGCTGCTCCGTGTTTATGCACCGATGTCTCTATCCGGCCACTATAACCGGATACTGACTCCAGCAAATCCAGTACAAGTCCATCAAATCTGTGTGACTTTTACTGGAATATTTGCTGGTCAGCAAAGTACTGTACCGGATACTGGCGCGGTGCGAAAATATTTCAGTAAAATTTCAGTAAATCAGCACACAGATTTACTGATTGGCCAATTTACTGGGCGCGGTGGAGATGCTCTAAGGTAATCCATCAATATCGCGAACGCTTGTCATTATATCCAATCCAATGGCTTCATTCTGTAATGAGGAGTTTTCATTGGATATGATTATATTCAGCCAACACCACCTTGAAGTCCAAAACTATGTTCATTTTTATGCAGTCCAATACAAATTTCAACTTGTATCTTATTATAATGCCGTTCGCGAAATACAAAGCCAAAAACGTTTCATCAATTCTTTAACGTTACGTTATAATTTCAAAATACAAATTGCTACAAATTACTTCTTGGCACTAAAAACGTGCAACTGGATTTATATTTTCCAACGCTATGTTAGCTTTTTTTATTCGAGGGACTTTTTGTGGTGGAGTGCTTCAAACATTTGACATTTTAGTGCACAAAAGCGTTCGCGATAGTGATGGATTACCTTACACTACTACTACGTATTAATAGTATTAATAGTACTACTAGTATGTGACAACGTGGTTCATTGCATCGATACATGATTGGTAGAAAACAATCCCTCTGAAAATTTCAATTACCTGCAATTTCATTTCCATTTTGAGAGGTAACTGGATAAAATATAGTGTCTCGGAACTGTTTTCAGACGCATTTGGATATTTTCACTCTTTTAGTTCATTTTCCATCAACACCAATACTACGTAGTACGAATTTCGACATGATTTGAAGTCCAACCAACTGCATTAACTCTCCTCTGTAAGAAGCACACTATTCATATAACGTTACGTATAGTATATATAGTACAGTAAGTACTACCAACAACCTCGAACAAATGTCCAATTATGAACGCCATTCTTCTTATTTTCATTGAATTAGTACATAATGTAACGTTATGCCTGTACTGTACAACATAACCCTCGACAACACATTATGTCTCCTCATCATCGTTGTGGCGTACCCAACCAATTACAATGCAATATATATATACTAGTATATATAAGCTGCCTGGCAACCTTCAAAGGGCCATCGCCGAACTCGTTTCAAGTATTTTAGCATTTCACATCTTAAGTCTATCCCAACATGTGCTGGGCCGGTTGAATAGCGTACACGCTGCCGCTCTCGCACGCGCCGACGGCCAAGTCATGTCCTCCGCTGCCGTCTCGGATCACGTCCACCCCAATCCACCGCGAGTCCCCGCGGAAGCCGAGGTGGTGGTTCATCTGAAGGATGGACGGCGAGTGTTCCTTGGCCGCGTGCTTCTTCTTCTCCGCCCCGTCGAACGTGCCCACCATGAGCTCGTTGTCCAGACCTGCCACGTAGCACAGCGTCGGGTCCGTCGGCGAGAATGCCAGGTACGCCAACTCGTACTTTAACGGACAGCGCCACCTGCATGCATTACACCACATACATTAAAGTAAATCCTACCATCCTATGGGGTATCGCACTATATATATAACGGGAAATTGCATGTTATTTATTTTCTGAATCCTGATATATATATATATATATATATCGGGGTTCAGTATATTTATATATATATATACATAGAAAAAGGCATTCCCAATGGATAGGCATATTATATAGCGTTTTTTATATAGAATATAATATATATAACATATATTCTATATAATGAAAAAATCATTTCAATGGGTATGGAATATGCATTCCCATGGGTACGCAATATATATAAAAAGGCATGTCAATGGGAATGCAATATATATATATATATATATCGTACAAGGAACGGAGCTTCCACTTGCGCGTGTCGTAAATGTACGCGATCTTGTCTTCACCCCCAATAGCTACCGAGTTGCCATCCAACGACCACGCGACCGCATGCACACATCCGAGCGACGGCAGCCCTTCGCGGGCGATGCGCTGGTGTGATTTGGAGTCCCATATCGACATCTACCACAGACAACAACAACATCAAACATATATTGTATTACAAACATACAAATATATATATATTTGGAAATAATATATCTGACGAGCCTGTGTACAATGGTTATATATATAACCGTTATACACAGGCTCGTACAGACACACGATTCAGTTTGGATAGGATGTTAGGGCGTCATATATTGCAAACTATTCAAGCATAATCATATATATTATAGTATTGCTCATGTTTTTTACCTGATTGTACTCCGCCACGACTAGCGTCGACGAGGACGAGTACGCCAGCGCCGTGGGCATGAGCAACGACGTTTGCACATGCGTCGTCTGAAGCGTGTGGCTGTCGTAAAAGCGAACGGCCTTGGTGAAGCTATGCGCTGTGACAATCTACGGTGACGACAACTGGGGTGACGATAGGTGGTGACGACAACTGGGGTGACGATAGGTGGTGACGACAATCGTCACACCTGGTTCGACACGGGGTTGAATGCGATGCCAGCCCAGCCAAGCTCGGGGGTCCCGCCGTCGCCACTCAGCACGTGGCCCGTCGCGCGACAGTCTGCCGCTTTCAACTTCTTTCTCGATGACTCCCCACTTGATTCCTCGTCGTTGTCGTGGATATCGTCCGTGTTCACGGCGCCGCTCGATGCGGTGTACAGCACAGCCACGCCGCGCGCGTCCACTGAGGCCACCAATGGACCTACCATCACCACCATTTCATCATGGACATTCATGGGAGCGAATGATATGGCACGACGTTCGCCGTGCATACACACATACCCTTGTGTGCGAGGGATTGGATCTCCGCCTTGTGCAGCACCTCCTCTGCGACCAGCGGACGTGACGTCGGCGCTTTCATCTGTACGATGTTGGAGATGTTGGCGCCTTGCGTCCCGAGCGTCACACGTTCCTGCTCGTCGGCCGACAGCCCCAGCGGCACATGCGTCTCGAAGATTTGGCGCCCCGTGGCGTACACAAACTCGACGACATTGTCATTGCCCGACGTTCCTGTGACTTGTAGACGGGTGGGCTGAATGTTGCCGGCAGAAAACCTGGTCTCGCTCAAGATTCCTCGTTGCAGCGTTGCCAACTTGGCCACGACACCTTCCGAGGCAGGTAATGGAGCTGCATCCTTCTTTAGGAGTTTGCGCTCATGCGCGGCGCGACCCTTCTGTCCTTTGTAGTCAATGATCACGGTACCATCATTGGCATCTTCCTTGAGAGCTTCCGTGACGGCCTCGACGGACCGCGGCTTGAACATGGATCAATTGGTCGTGAAAATGTGATTGCTCCAATTCTCGATTAGGTACCTTTCTATTTTAACGAATTACAAACGAGAAAGGGGATACCTTATTGAATGCATGGAAATCCAATTTTGCGATGTCCCTAAAGCGCCGTAGCAGCACGCCGCCGCCGACGCGGGTCCGCGACTTCCCTCTCCTTGTAGAGAAGTCCAAGGGCGACAAGGATAAGTTAGTGGTGCACCTCCAGGTGATTGTGCTCGACATGGACGACTTGCAGACCTCCACGTCGGCGTACGTATCAGTGCTCATTGCCGACGACACAGCGGCGGCAACGTTGCTCTTGAAGCGATCCGTGGCACAATGTCTGAACTTTGGAGATATCCTGAGTGTCGAGAATGCTGCACTCGTCTTCCACAACACCCACTTGGTCGTGAGCTTGACGCCCACCGGACGTCTCGAGCGGGTGGGTGAATTCACGATGGTGTTCAAGGAGAATCCCAACGTCAGCAACTACGTGTATACAAAGGACTCATCTGGACTCATGGTACGTCCTCGTTTCCTTGACTTATCGATCTCACTCGTGCGAATACAGGTGCTGGATCGACGGCCAAAGCCACCGCAGCCCCGGTAGAATGCTGCATGTCTTGTTCCGGCAACCACGACGACTCCATTGGCACTACTTGAAATGGATTAACACGGACCACCATGATTCCCATCTTCATGGTTCTACCGTGTAAGTTGTCATTAAACTGACCATCAAAGAAGTTATAACGTTACGGTCGAATTGGTGGTTGGAGAGGGGGGGGATGCTGCGATGAAAGAATTTCATCGACATGTGGGGGTGAGTCATTTTAGAATTGGATGTAGTGCTAACAGACAATGCAATTCTTGCGCTATGGGGTGACCCAATGAAAGGCTCCGAAGGAGCCCACACTTCGACCATGCTTCGTGCTTTGGGGGACAACGTGTTAGTGACAGACATGAAAAGTTGACCTTTCTCATGTGTTTGCCCGTAAAGCCGGGGGGAATCAATCCTCCACATGTTTCGACGGGTATTGGTCGCTCAACTCAGGCTCCGATGATGCTGTTTAAGACAACTACGTAGTATTAGTACTTACTACTGCTACAACTAGTAGTAGTTGGCAATGACCAACCGAGCAATCCTTTGCACAGAGACAAGACAAACAGGTACAACCACCAACACTAGATTCCCGCCCCCCCCCGAAACGATAGACTTAAGCACAAGGAAACGTCTCGTTTTTGATCATGTGATTAACCTGATCATGGCTTACGCAGGGCTCAACACTGCTTTGACTTCGTCGTACAAGACCAGGACGAGGGCTGACCCGGACCCGCGGAGGACGTTGGAGCCCGCGCCTTTGAAGTACGCCGGCGCACCCCCTTCGGTCGTCCAAATCGTACGCCAACAGTGCCACGTGTTCGCGTACAACACGTCCGGGCGACCCACTTGCATCATCATGCGACGCCGCACCGTGTCCAGCGGGTACGACAGCAGCCCCGCCACGGTCTGCACCGTTTGCGCGACGATCCATTTTTGCCACAAGGGGGCGTCCTTGGTCAGCCACACGTCTCGAGCGGTGTCGTACCCGCCAAAGAGCGACGCGCGGTACACGATGATCCCCCCCATAGACACCCCGAACCCCCAGTACAGCCCCCGGAGGCCGCTCGTGGCGTACATGTCCGTGAGGCAGTGCCACAACCCACGGTGGACGCGGGGGTGCTGCTGACACCGACGTCGGCCCCGAGCCGGGTGCGGGCAAAATCTAGCGGGTACACCGCGGCGAGGGAGTTGGCCCCGGCAGCCCCCCCTGCGGCCATGTTGCAGAGAAAGAACCACCAAAACCCCATATTTTCCTTGGATCCGGTGGGCAAGAAGAGCTGTTTGTACTTGTCCTTCGTGGCAAAGTTGAGCGCTTGGGTGGGAAATTAGCGCACGACGTTGGCCAAGTTACCTCGCCAGAACGACGCCAGGCCTTGTTCGTGAAACACGCGGACAAAGCAGTTGAGGATGCCGGTGTACGGCTGCTTGATTTGGGTCGACGCAGCTTGCACTTGCAGGAAACCTGACGCGCTCGATGGGCGCCGTGGCAGTCTTGGCGATCCCCCCCGATACCCCCCCTGCGATAAAGTCGACAAGAAACGACGGGGAAGGGTTGGGACGGCTTTGTTGGTTTTGGGACGTCATGGTCAAACGAACAATGAGCACTTTTCCCCATTACTGCAATCCAAACAAACTGGTGCTCGTAAAGCGATGTGGAGGTCAAATTGGAGCAAGATGTGGACTTGTCTCGGCTGGGGGGCTGCATGGGTGGGATGTCGCGTGGTGGGAGGATTAGGGCTACGTTTGGGCCTGATATGTTGAAATCGTGGCGTTAGGTACTGGATCTCAGTATTTTTACGATTCTGTAGTGAAGGTAAAAGCTCAAGCGAAAAGTGTTCGAACTGCATTGTACTTCCCGAAGACCACTGGATGAATCATACCTACATCCCAAATACTAAAACTAGTACTAGTGCCATGTAACGTTAGTACTAACAGTAAGTTACTGACGCCCACGTGTGGTAAAAATGGATCGTCACGCAAACGGTGCAGACCGTGGCGGGGCTGCTGTCGTACCCGCTGGACACGGTGCGGCGTCGCATGATGATGCAAGTGGGTCGCCCGGACGTGTTGTACGCGAACACGTGGCACTGTTGGCGTACGATTTGGACGACCGAAGGGGGTGCGCCGGCGTACTTCAAAGGCGCGGGCTCCAACGTCCTCCGCGGGTCCGGGTCAGCCCTCGTCCTGGTCTTGTACGACGAAGTCAAAGCAGTGTTGAGCCCTGCGTAAGCCATGATCAGGTTAATCACATGATCAAAAACGAGACGTTTCCTTGTGCTTAAGTCTATCGTTTCGGGGGGGGGCGGGAATCTAGTGTTGGTGGTTGTACCTGTTTGTCTTGTCTCTGTGCAAAGGATTGCTCGGTTGGTCATTGCCAACTACTACTAGTTGTAGCAGTAGTAAGTACTAATACTACGTAGTTGTCTTAAACAGCATCATCGGAGCCTGAGTTGAGCGACCAATACCCGTCGAAACATGTGGAGGATTGATTCCCCCTGGCTTTACGGGCAAACACATGAGAAAGGTCAACTTTTCATGTCTGTCACTAACAAGTTGTCCCCCAAAGCACGAAGCATGGTCGAAGTGCTATTGTTGCTATGGTTGTGGTTGTTTTCGTGGTAGAGCCTGAAGTTGTATTATTTGCATTAATTATGGTACTCGTTGGTTGTGGTCGGTTTCCCGGGTGGCTGTGTATGCACAACTAGCTGCAGCTGATGCAGCCAAGTCTGCAGCTTTTCCTATACCCGCCGTTTAGTCTGATGCTAGTAGTGTGCTTGTGAGACCTGTTGGTCGATGAGAAACGCAGCAAAGTCGACGTCATGGAGGGGCAGTACATCTTTGGGGTACAAAAGGGCGGGTATCTGAGTCAGCAAGCGCATTGTGGAGCTCTGCGCTTGCGGGGGGGGCTCGCTGCTGACCACAGCTGGCGCCGCAGTTCCAGGCTAGATTCACATCTCCGATAAAAGGTTTCACTCACGACAATGCGGCGTACATCTAGCAACGCGGTGGGTACGATTTGCTGGCACAGCGTGTACATGGCGGTGGCTAGCACTCGTAGGTTGTGCTGCACTTGGGCAGCAGGTTGCACTTTGCTGCCAATGCCACCTTCCCACGGCCGTAGAATCAAGTCGGGCACCACGATCCGCACCACAACGAAGTTGAGCACCACCACGTTGAACCTGTGCGGGTTCATTGTCATGTTTCTCGTCGCACCAAGTGAATTAAACTCGAGTGCCGTGCGCTCTTCGGCCGACAAGTACTACGTGCAACCACAGTCCGCCACGTCATCATGAGTTCAGTCAAGATATATCGATGTTGAGGTTGCCACTTAAGTACATCTGGCGGAAAGTACACGCCGTCGGTGGTAACTCGTCGAAGAAATTTGGCGATCGCATCCGGCGTGTCTTGCGGCCGGAGCGTCGTTTTCACGATGGCGTCGACAATGCCTTTGAGTCGCACCTGACCATCATTCATGGCACAAAATGATATATCTGGACTTCAAGTTGAAGTTGATACGACAGATACTACTACTAAAAAATGACATATATCACTTTTTTCTCACTTTGAGTTGAACGAGGGCTTGGGGGGTATTCTTGGGGACCTTTTTCGGAAACAAAAGGGTCTTGTACTTCTTCTTCAAGCCTTTGTCCGCTCCACCCCCTCCTCCGCCAAAGTTCATAGTTGGATCCTATCGAAGATATTTAGATTTATTTACCCCTTTCGCTAGAGTGATAGTTCGGTCTGTATTGATATCTACCTGTAGCACGGACGCGATGGGCACCCGCACTTCCTTGGCCATCCACGATCGAGTGGCTTCGACATAGACTTGAATCATGTTTGCCATCACTTGGGCTTCTTCGTCCCGCAACGTCTTGCGGCGCGCCAGGGACAGCCGTTGCAGACACACCACGCTGAGCACTACCATCGCCACCGACCGAAACACTTGCACGGGCTACACATTGCATATCGTAATATTAGTTTCTCCACAAGTTTCTCCAAAACAAAACGAGTATTCATACAGCCATGGCCCCTTCCCCAAACGTCGACACGACTCCGTTGGCGGCGTCGGCATCGAGGCGCCACTGCGGCCGCTTCAGACCCGTGGTGCTGTGATTCATGTGCTGCATCAGCGCCTTTCGCCGCATCGAGTCATGTCGCTTGGATTCCTTCAGGGGCGTTAGCGTATGTATGTATGTATATACACGCCTGAATCGTGACTGTCACCTGAGCGGCTACATCCTCCTTGCCTTGGGAAGGCGGCGGCGGATCGGCTAAAATGTCGTTGGTGTCGTAGTCATCTTCTGGAATGGCCAGCAACTACGTTTGTTTTAATCAAAAGCTAGAAAGCTGCCCAGCATGCCTGTTCCTCGTCCTCGGAAAAGAGGGCGCCCCCCGTCACAGGCATTACTTCTTCTTTGCCCCCTCGGTCGTGATGTGGCGTGGCGTTGTGGGGGCCTGCTTGGGAACGTTCCACTGGAGCCGCGGCAGCCCCAGCCGTCGGTGGACGTTTTGGAGGCCCGCCAGTCCAAGGGGCTGCTGCCGCTGTTCCTTCTGCAGGATCCAGCGACTTCGATGTGGCAGGAATGGCAGATGTCCGTTTGGCTGCTTGTCTTGGTGGTGGTTGGGAGGGATTGATAGCTGCCCCCCTTGCGTCGGCTTGTTGCGGAACATTCGGGGCATTCGCTGGCTCCTCCTCTGCCTGTGGATTCAGATCGGATGGCTGAGGTTGACTCAACAGTTTCTCCACCTTTTTCTGCTGGTGCAGAATTTGCTGGAGTAATTCTGTCATGGCAGCTTGCGATTGTTGCTACCCCAAAGTTATTCTTCACTGGGGGCTTGTTTGTGGGAAATACGTATGAGCGACGTCTACTGTACCTCGTCGTGTTTATGCAAGTGGTGCTGAATGTCCTGCAGCTGGTTCCTACGTCAAGTATGTAGTTATAGCTGAATCATGCAAAATCAAATGGCCTTCAGCTCTCGTTGAGACTGGCTGGGAACGTACATCATGGCTGCGTTTCGATCTCGCAACACGTCTCTCAGTGTACTTTGGCGCAATTCTCGAATGCTTTGCCGCAACTGTTGGTGGTGGTGGTGGCGCTGCTGCTTGATAGCTTGCTGTGCCGCCTGCCATTGCTGCTGCTGCTGATACTGCATGTAATACGCGTGCATGTTTGAGCTAGTAGGGCTATCTATATATAGCTAAACATATACGGAGTACTACAGTGTTGAATAGTAGCTAGCTTATGCGTCGGTGCCCCGGTACTCTTATCCCAACTCACATGTGAACTTCCTAGTCTAGCACATGAGTCGAATCCAGTGACGGGGGGTACCGAAGATCCCGTCGACTGCGACCATTCAACAACCAGTGCGACGAATCTTTAGTGCAAGCACCCCCCCACCTAGGCGTGTAGGTGTAGATCCAAGCAACATGACATACTTGTCGCCTGTAGAATGAATGTATGTTGTAAATAGTGTTACACAAGCGCAGAATGCATGTAGCTATCACGAGGATGATTTCGTCCATTTCATCCGTCGCTCGCGGCACCGTGGCCACATCAAGCACCCACCTTGCTTGTTCGACCTGTTGATGGATTGTCATATATAAGTGCGCATTTGACGACTGCCGACGTGGCGACGTGATTCGCTACCTGCGAGGTCTGCGCTCTCACGTGATAGTAGATTGCCATTTCCAGGCTTCGAAAGGCGAATTTCGCACGAGGTGCATCGGGCGTTGTCGTCGTAATGTCGGTAGGATGCTAAACGGGTGGCCAAGAAGACAACGCCAGTGCACCAAGGGACCTCATGCCAAGAAGCTGCCACGTCTGATTGATGGATATGTTCAGGTGATTCAACGGTCAAGGGACTTCCCGTAGACTCGAACAGATTGCCCCACATTTTCATCGCGATGCTTACCTCACTAATATGAAGGGGCAAATCACAATAGCATTCCTCGTGTTCAACTTGCACTTGGCATTGTGACCTCGACATTGATAACACATGGATCAGCACTTGTCGGCTGTGTTCGTCGACAACGGCAAGGTAGCGCCATGGGACAAATAGTGGAATGAATAGTTGTCGTTATAATTCCATCTAATCCAGCACGAAGTGCCCTCCTTTGCCCAACGAAAAGCTCGCCAACGTGTCCAAGTCGGCGCGATGTTCGCGGTTGACCTCTCGGACAATGTCCTTGATCGAAAGCATCCCAATGATGTCGTTGTTGGCGTCCACGACGGGCAGATGGCGAACGTCGCTGTTAAGCATTTTCGTCATGAGCTTCTCGGGGGATTCGTTCTCTTTGGCCACCACAAGGCGGGCTCGATGTGTCATGATCTGGGAAATCAACGTCGATTTCGCCGTCAATCCTTGCAATTCCACCTTCTTGAGGTAGTCCCGCTCGCTCACCACGCCGACAAACTGGTTGTTCTCGTCGGAGACGGCCAGGCAGCCCAAGTTGATACCAGCCATACGGGTGATTGCATCAAACACCGTCGCGTCGTGCTGGATCACGAAGTTCACGCCATAGTAGCACGACTTCTGCATCATGTCTTTGGCCGTGCCCTTCTGGTAATGGAACTGACGAGTCAGCATTGGGCGCACCATGGAAGTGCGGACAGGACCAGCCATCTTTGCGACGAAGGCGGCACGCATGGTTGTCTGTGGGGGACAGGGTGATTCTCTCGATGATGAGGACAACAATGCGCTTCTATGAAAGAAGTATCTAAAGTGCCAAATCACGCAGCCCATTTTTTAATATTATTGCGCATACTCTTGCTAAGCTTGATATTCCTATACATTCCGAAAATGGCAATCTATTTACCTTTGATAGATAATACACTGTTTAAATCCATAGGTATTGAAGGAGAAACGAGGTTCATACCCTTAATGACACTCCTCGAAGATACAAATACTTACCGAAATACATAAACGCAATCTCATTGGTTGTTTCTGAAATTGCTACGTTCTGATTGGTTCGCAAGTCGATCGATTGATGAAATGCCCTTGTTTACTCCTTTGAAGTTACACCATGGCTTCGCTGGCTCCGACAAAGATGGTGTTTTCGTGGTCTGGAATGTGTCGCGCCGTGGCCAGCACCGTCTCCTTGCTGTGGCTATGCAGAAGGGATTGGATCGTGGAGCTGAGCGACGGCGCACTGACCGACGACCGACGCCGCCGGCCGCCCTGGGGTGCGGCTTGCTGGGGATCTTCTCCTTGCCACAAGAACGAATTGAGCGCCGCATTCGACAAATCGGCCTTCTCGAACAAGTTCATGACAAACTGGCGCGCGGAGAGGCGGTAATGGTACCGCGCCAAGATGGTGTGCGCCGCCAGCGCCGTCTCCGTGTCTTCAAAGAGCTCAGGGTGCGACCCCTTCATACGATTGAGCGATGCGCCGGCCTCTTTCTGGGAGATGGTCGAGCTCAAGTCCCCAACGAGCCGCAGGATTTCTTTGGTTTTGGCCGTGGTTTTGGCAGACTTGACAAAGTGGGGAGACACAAACGGTTTGAACGACACGTCTACGAGATCACTCGGGTACGGCGGCGTCGCCGTCGGCCATACAAACAACGTAGCCACCGAGTTGGGCACGGCGACGGACGCGAGGGGATCCCGGGGCACGGCCCATCCGGCATGCGACAGCGCGCGCTTCCCCGCACTGGATCGCGCAATCAACCCGAGTACAAAGAGACTCGTGCCCCGGAGACTTAGCAGGTCGCACGACGTTGCCATATGGACGATACACTCGACCAGGTCGTCGGCATGGGATGTCAACAGATCCATTCTATATGCCCATATGTACAACAATTAGTATAAAACACAAACCAGTCAAGGCATCATCGATTGCCTTATTGCAATACAAGGCATCACATCCATATATGACAAACCATTGCCAACCATACGATAGATATTGTCAAATCGATTCGAAACTGCAGAATTAAGGGAATGGATTAATGAATAGTCTAAGCCAATCAAATCATGTTCTGTCGAATTTCTGCCAATCCAAACTTAGTATGTTCGGCCAAGCCAAAAATATACTACTATTTGTATAGTATAATTTGTACAAGCTTAAATCGGATCAAATCGATTCGAGTGCTCGTTGGCAAAATGCCTCTCAAGTCCATTAAAACCATTGTCAGCCAACTATATACAGCCAAACAAACCTATTGTCAGCCATGTATATACAACCAATCACAACCAAGTAGTTGACTCACACTATATATCCACAGATGGATTAATGAATTGTCTAAGCCAATCAAACGATGTTCTGTCGAATTTCTGCCAATCCAAACTTAGTATGTTCGGCCAAGCCACACATATACTAGTATTTCTATAGTATAATTTGTACAAGCTTAAATCGGATCAAATCGATTCGAGAGCTCGTTGGCAAAATGGTGAAATATATGCACAATATATACTCCAAGATGTGTCATATGACAGACAACTAAGGGCCATATGCAGTTAACCCCAGGGATTTAGCATTACTGATATTGAACGCACCCCCTCCACATACATAGATATAAATATATTGAGTCGATTATTCGAAATTAGGTACGAAATCGGCAGTGAATCGATCGACCAATCAAATCTGACAACACGAAAAATCCAGTGGCCAATCAAATAATTTCTCCACTCCAACGTTGAATTCGACACTAGTGTGACGACTCGTCTGGACGAATAAAATTTGACATACAACAGTCAAGTACAAGGAGAAATCGATTGATATATTTGGCGAAGCAGCACCAAAGTATCCACATTTGGGGTAAATGGACAATACATATATATTGAATAGAAACTCGTGTTCGTACCCGCGGTTGGTGCCGCCAATGTGGCCCAGCGTCCACAGCGCCGCCCGCTTCTCCAACGGGACAGCGGTGGGGTCCTTGAGCGACGCCACCAGCTCTGCCACGTGTCCGGACTGGCTTAGGATGGCGCATCCGTCGTCGGTTTTCGCGAGCTCGCCGTAAAAGTGGCGGGGGAGGGGGACGGTCGGGGCTTTGGACGGTAGCAGCTGGATCGTAAACTCGACGCTTTTCAGCTGCACGCGCTTGATCTGGTGGTTGTCCGTGTCCATGTCAAACGTCCACACGGCGCGCTCCCCCGCGGGACACACGCTCGCTTCCGTCAAACTATCATGGGTGGCGGCTTGGAAGAGCGCGGCCGCGGTGCGATGCTCAGGCCCGCATGAGCTCCAGTCTTTGTTCTCGTCGGGGGCTTCGTATGCCATCGAGCTGTCCAGATTCCCACTCTGCTCGGACGACCGATCGATCACACCTCGACTCTCCTACAATAATGGTGATGTTTTGTATTGTGCTTTCGAGTGAAATTTCATTGTGTTGTGGTTTCTCGTTGGAATTTAAATCGATTGGATTGGCTACTTCAGATGAGCTCAAAATTATTAGCCAATCAAAACCCATTTCTCAATGAAATTCAACCAATCAGATCGATTGTGGATCGGTTTGATTCGATTGCACCCCCTCCCCAAATTTGTATCAAATCGACAATATGTGTCAAAATTGAAGTGGGGTGGAGTGCTCAATCGAATGAGAATCACCAATTTGGCAGATATACAATCGATATAATGTAGATGGCCAGTTTATGGTGCACGGGACAGTTTAAGGTGCATTAATTTAATTGGCCAATGGAATAGCTTGATTTTTGGAATAGCCAATCGAATCACTAGAAATATGAAATCGCCAAAAACTAAGCAAAACCCGCATACATATTTTAAGCTTAACCCATAAACTGCTCGTCCTATTTTGCCTTGACATGAGTGGAAATTGAAGTAAATATGAATTTCGTAAGCTGAAGCCTATTTAAGCCGATTAACTGTAAATAACCAGAAGAATGCCCAACCTTTCGGCTTTATGCAGTACTTTTCAGAATTGAAATCCCGTTCCTAAGAGACGAGTAAACTGCATTCTACGACCAGGTCTCTTTCAAGTGCACCATACATAGGCCATCTACTTAGTACATTATGACCCAGATCAAACCAATCAAGTAGCCAATCAAATCATCCCCTCTTCGACCAATATCCAACATCGAATTCGTGTATGACTTGAAATAGTGTGACACTGGACGACTTTTTTACATACAACAGTCAATACAAATAATCGATAGATTTGGCAAAGAATTCGCACAAAAGTAGTCCAAATTTCGGGTAAAACAAAGACAGTATGCAATGCTCCAAGTCATAACCGCTACTTTGCCAACTTGTACATAAATATATATATATCAACAAGGACGAAACGATATCTCACACATACCGTTCGCGACCGAATCGGAGGGCCGCCAGTAGATGTTAAAGCATTTCCTCCCAGCCCCCCTCCTCCCATTCCCAGTCCTCCCCCCCCTCCCCCTCCCAGTCCCCCCAGTCCCCCTACCCCCCCGGTCGACCCTGGTTCCTTGTCATTTGGGGCAGGAAATCCGCCGTTCAAAGTCGGCGCCGGCTTGGTATGCCCCTTCCGATCCACGGGTTGCGCCCCCAGAAACAAACACGCTTGGAGCGTTTGCTGGCTATTGACCGTCACGGGCTTTGGGATGTTGCGGGCATCCACAACCACCCCCTTGATGCGAATTGTATTGAGGTGGTTGCCGTCCGACGGCGTGTGTGCGTCGTGGCCCGTCTGATTTGCCAGTCAGCGCAGTTCAAAGGACTTGTGTCTTACCTCGCTTGCGTCTACGTACGCGTCTATGGTTAAATGCGCGGGGGGGCCGCTCCCGGGGGGCCCCACGAGCTTGACTTCGATGTTCCACGGCATACGAAACAGCCACTCCAGCCCTGCATATATATATATATATATATATATATATATTAGATATGTCGCTTGATTCACAACTCATAGTATAGCTAGATAGGTATGTTATACATATATATATACCAGCCCTGCATATATATATATATATACATATATATGATACACAATTCATAGTATATATATATATATATACCCCATTGGTCCCGATGCGGGCCGTGCTTAAAGTTGGAGCTGCGTCGATTGGGCACTGTGACTGGAATTGGCACGGGCTTCAAAGCCGCCTTGGACGTGTTGGTCGTGACGCTCTGCTTGTCCCGAAAGACCCCGCGGAGCAGATGCGACTCGACCACGTGGACGTAGTTGACGACTTTGCTTTGCCGCCACTGCACCAACTTGGTCGGGATCCAGTTTGGCACGTCTTTTAGAAACGCTAGGCCTACAAACCCCGCAGGATTCATATATATATATTTATACTGTATATATATTTGCTTGACCTACAACAGTATTCATTATATATATATTTATTTATATGGATCGAGCTTCATTTATATATATGTATATAAACAAACCACCATGTTCATATATTCTTCAAGTATATATATACATATTTGCTCGGTCTACAAACAGTATTCATGTATATATATATATAGAAATACTCGATCCGATCCATGTGTTTCCCCTATACATTTCTATATATAAATAAATACAAGATACACAAGACAGCCTATTTACATGCATATATAGATAATATATACACAACTGTATGTACCTAGTATGAATACGCTCACAACAATCCATGACTAGGCTCATTCGTACATATATATACATATACCATGACACTTTGTAGACTCGTGGATAATATATTATTACCTTCGGGAAGGGACAAGAACTTGAGCAAAAGCGACTCGGCCTGGAGGTGTACGAGCTGCAGCGGCCGCTTCTTGATCATAGCCGACAAGTAGACGGGGGACTCGGCCGCTTCCTCCAGCACACTCAGCGCCGCCCGCGCCACACTCGTCTCTTTGTCCAGCTGGGCAACCAAGCTTTCAATGCCCCACCGCTCAAACCCTTCCACCTAATCATATTATTATATATTTATATCATAATATTAACACAATACTCGTACCTCAGACCGCAACAACGCCCGCAACAAACACGTGGCGTACAGCCGGAGGGACTCGGAGCCAAAGTTCATCCAATCCGTGAGCAGTTGACGAGAACTGCCTTCGACTGTGTAGTCCAAGTTGGCCAAGATCAATCGACACAGAAAGTCATGGCCTAGTAGGATATATGTTTGGTGTAACATGACTGGGTTTATATATATATATATATACATTTGTAGGATATATATATATATTTGTAGGGTATATAGATATATTTGTAGGATATGTATTTATATTTTTATGATATTTATATAAATATTTGTATGATACATATATATATATATAAATATATTTGTATGACATATATATATATATATCTATATATTTGTATGATATATATAGAATACCTTGACTCTTATCTTTGACGGCACGCTGGGTCTTGGACATGTCCATGGGCTGGCCTTTGTCGGTGAGGACCTTGGCCGTGCCCAACTTGGTCAAGCGCGCAAATATGCGCTGCATCATTTTCAGCCCTAAACGCAAATATATATTAAAAATATATTGAAGATATTTTAGTACTGGTCAAATGATATTATGTACCTTCGGGGGACGAGCTCATAAGACCCAAGAGCGTAAAGTATTCGCGAAGCATGCGTCGCGAGCAATATTCCGGACTGATATATATATATTTATCATATTCGACCATACATGCAACCAAGCAGAAGGGTACGTACCTGAACATCCTGGCTTGCAACTCGCCCAAATGCGATTCGACGATCGCAGCTTCCGGTCTGGCTTCGAGTTCCAATGCGGTAGAAATCTCATTCAGCAATTGCCCTCTACATATCAAATCACATGGAAACATTGATATATCGCATGGTCTCTTATCCAATAGAATATATATATATTCAAATATGCAATATTAAACTCCACAACAACATTACATACCGTCGATCGGTCTTCAAGAACGCAATGCCTTCGGGATGATTCAACAGCAGCGTGTACATTTGACACGCCGGACGCAAGTACGGCACGTAGTCGGGCGTCCACGGCAGCCCTGCAAAGTACCCTACACCACACCATTCCATATGAAAACCACAAGGAGTCATAAATATATATATATATATACGATATATACAGTTTTGCGTAGAATGACGAAAAAAAACAATATATATACCAGATTTGTAATACAATATGTATATATATACACATATACCTGATTTATAATATAAGAAGTATATATACCTGATTTACTATATACCCGATTTACAGAACAATATATCGTATTTCATTAAAATACGGATAAAAAAAATACAATATATATATAATATACCTTTGTCGCTGTTGTCACATCGAAAAAACCCCGACACGCGCTTGAAAAACTTGGTTTTCATTGCCTCCGAGAGCCGCGCGGGGTTGGTCAGCGGTCCTTCGAGCAGCTCGGAAATAATATCCCAGTTCCACCGGAACCAGTCTTTTCCGGATAAGACTCGGCTCTTGTGCATCAAAAGGTCCCTATATCGAGTTAATATATATTTTTAACGGTGGAGTGGTGGTTGTTCTTGTACCGAAACGTGTGGTCGTCCATTTGGTTGTCAAGGTGCACTTTGAGGTCGTACACCAACATTTCCCGCGCACTGTCTCGTGGACTTTGCATGCTAAAGTTGTGCAGCGGACGATTTGTACCCCGAAGCAACTCGGACGCGAGGTGGACGCCGTTGGCGGCACCCCCCGCGAGGGGGTTCTGGCGGGTGACGAGACCCCCCGAGCTCGAGCTAGCCCCCACCTACCACCACATTAGTACTGTCGATTGGTATATATATATAATGCTTCAAATATCGATTAATCAGCGATAACAAATATTTTAGAGAAGCCAATCAATCGCACAAGGCTTGGTGATCGGTTCAAAGTTAGTTTTCCCCGTCTCAGCGAGATACGAACATGTTGTTCAGACGAGCCAATCAATCGAAGGCCTTGGTTCGAGATCCAAAACGCACAACAAATATATACTAACTACTTTCTCATTTCCAGGTTACTGCCGACATTTCAAAATTCGCATGTTCCAAGTTACTGGAGACATTTGCATTTCATTGGCTGTAATTCTTCAATTCCTCTCAATATCGAACATTTATGACATTTCATTGGCTTACAATTGCTTTAAGCGCTGATTATAAACCAATCTTTTGCGAAAATTCAAGCAATTCCCTTTCAGAGTATCATTCGCCCAAATTGAGTGAGGGCTCGATTGTCTGTGTCAAAATACATGTCGGCAGTAACCTGGAACAGAGGAAGTACGTAGTATTGTGCGTTTTACTCATAACTTCGAAATTTCATGTAAAACTAAGTTTTAGAGGTATCTTTGTGACGGCAAACTACAATCAATCTTTTTAGCCAATCAAATTGCAACCCTTCATTCTTTGTAGCCAATCATTCTTCTTTGCTGGCGATTTCATCAACCCCCCCAAATATAGGCAAATTCGACTGAAAATCACAATACTGCACAACAAATATACTAATTACTACTCGTCGAAACGAATGCCAATCAAAATAGGGTACCGCGTGCGCCAGCTCGGCCAGCATTTCCGACGACCGGATGGCGCGTTCGCGCTGCAGGCGGTCCTCGGGGGGCTTGGTCTGCAGATCCGCGAGGTAGTCCACTTGCGAGTATGCAGTCGTCGCCACCAGCTGCGGCAGGGCCAGCAGCATGGCGCAGTGCTGGTCTGGCAGTAGCCGCGCACTCAAGTGCAGGATCTCACTGAGCAGTTCAATCGCTGGTTCGGCTAGCGCGGTTCGGTTCGCGCACGTTCCTATGCCAGATACTCAAAACAGCAAAACGACGGGAACACGACGTTTTGACATATCCAAGATAGTATAGAGCCAAGGAAATATATATATATATATATATATATATATGGTCAAAAATCCGTTCCAATTGGGCAACAATCAAAGGATGCATGTGACACCAAATGTTCGAGTGTGGCGAAGAATATATCTTAGCCAATCACATGGCACGCACGAGAAATTGCAACCAATCATCGAGTAGTAGCATCTGTTTTTTTTGCCCTAATCAAATGTGCGTATACCATATACATTAACCAAATCGGACTCGAATCGAATTCAAATTTCAGCAAAAAAAGGACAAGATTTCATAAAACAGTAAAAGATATCATATAACAGTTGACGTACCCAATGCGACGAGGGCTTGGAGCAGGCCGCAGTGCCCGAGGGACAGCAGCACCATCACCATGTAGTTATCGAGGAGATTCGTCTGAGCATGCGTCGACACGACCGCCGCCGCATGCTGCTTGGCGCTACTACTTGCGCCTTTGATCGAGTCGCCACTTCGATCCACGTCGTTGCCATTCTGTCCATACCAGTATATATCATCATTACCACACCAAAATACAAGTGGATGATACTGCATCGATCGGATCTAAACCTAAATATTGAATTTAATTTTTTTAAATTAAATAGAACAACATACAACCTTTCCATACAAAACAATACTCTCTCTCTCTCACTCTATATATCCTTAGTTTCATACCTACAACTTTACTGTTAAAACACACACATTATATATATATATATATATATATATATATATATATACCCATAACGAATGCTATTGGTACGAAAATATATAATATGTACTTTGAGGAATTTTAAAGAACGGATGGTCATGCGAAAAAGTCATTTTTCAAAAAGAATTCTTTGACTTGCCTATAATCCATTGTATGTTTGGTATACTATTAATAGTACCTTGTCGAGAGGCGCGTGGGTATAAAATATGTCGCAAATGGTGGCCAGCACCACCTTCTTGACGTCGTCGCCCACGGGTTGTTCGAGCATGCGCACGAGCGATCGAAGGCCTTGTGGGTTGGCTGTCATGATGAGTATACCCTATCAAACTGTTCAAAGCCCATTCAATATGAGAAGTACTGTATATACCGTCCACGACCGCATCATCATGACGATGGCGTTGCGGCTGGCAGTCCACCGCTGCCGACGTTCTGTGCCGGCAGGGGTGTCCGTGTCTGTCAGTGGCGCCAGCAGGACTTGTACATTGACGAATGAGTGAATCAAATTGCGGTTCGCGGGCTCGTTGATCAAGTACATGATCGTCATGAGCAGCGCGTCCGCCAGGTCCTAGTGTTGAGTTGATTTCAAGCTAGTGCGATGTACCGACTGTAGGATATTCACCACGACACTACCAAATCATGTGCAGAAGAAATAGGCACTACGTAGCATGTAGCCAATCCGATTGCAGGAAATCGTCACTTTAATTAGTGAGGGACTTCAATTTAATAGACATTTTTTTTTATATGCAAAGTCCAACACATCGATATCAACACAAGCCCAAATTTTGGCCGAAACGCCAATACCGCGAGGATTGATCCTGCAAGAAGATGTACACAGGACTAGTATAGATATCATATGATTGGTCTGTTGTACGGATGTCTACAATACCGATATACACATGTATATATATACATTGTCAAGCCGATTTGATATTGGAGTGTTTGGGTGCTCAATTGAATGAGTAGAATCACCAAATCGGCAGATATACAATCGATATATCGACCAATCAAAACCCAGATCAAGTAGCCAATCAAATTATCAACTCTTCGACCAATATGCAATATCGAATTAGTGTGTGACACTAAATTAGTGTGATACTGGACGCTAAAGTCAATACATTAAATCGATAGATTTGGAGCTCAAAAGTATCCAAATTTTGACAATATTATACACATACATACATCGCAAAACTATAATAACAACAAATCGGGAAGTCGACCATCATACCTACTAATTACTACTATGTACCTACTAACTACTACTATGTACCTACTAACTAGTAGTACATACCTGGCATGTGGGGTCGAGGATGCAGTCGACCAACGTCTTGATGCCGTTGCATTGCATGACCACGGATACATTGGCAATCGCCAGTTCGCGCAGTGTTTCCAGCGCCACGCGGCGCAGGTTGTCTTCTTTGTGGTTGGCAATCGCGACCACGGACCGGACGACGCTGGTCGGGACCTGCGACGCGTCAATGTCCATGAGCCGACGCACGACTTTTAGCGCCTGGATGCGTTCACCCACGAGCTTTGCGTCGCGCTCCATGCTCCGGGACACGAACAGGTGCACCCCCTGCTCTCAACACACGATCAGGAGGATGGGAAAGGCACGGATCGGTACCAGCTTGATGGCTTGTGCCGTGGACGCGCAGTTGATCATGGAGTAACGAAGCACACGCAATGCCGCCGTACGGACAGACGTGTCCGTGTCGGACATGAGACCCCGCGCGCAGTTTTGAATGCGCTCGACGGCGAACATCTCGAGGAGCATCGGGTCCTTCTTCATTTCCTGCATGATATTCCATGACGTCTCAGTCGCCCCCCATCAAGCGAGGGGGAGAGACGAAGCTACGTAACGTACATGCGTGATCCGTCCCGTAGCCTCGAGCTTCGTCCGGCGATCGAGTCCTCCGCGGTCGATCAGTCGGCATGTCGTCTCAAGCACGTGATACGCGGCCATCGCTCTCTTCCAGTCTGACGACGACGTCTTTCGCAATTAGCAATGTTCGGGAATTGGCCAATCCCAAGTCAGCACCATCCCACCAATCAGCGCCCAGAAACTGTTGAAGTGGATTGAAACGTCGGATCATGGCTGGATGCATGGAGGGAAGGAGGCAGAATGGGCGAAGTTCATCGACACAGCTAACTCAAGACAAGCTCAACGCTGACATTATATTGCCATGCATTGGCGACACAGCTATGTACTAGTATATATGTACAATACAGTCGGTGCAGCATCGCCCATCGCTACAGCTGTACTTGCAATTTGGTACGATCACGACGGAATCATCTCCCTCAGCATGCCACGTAATGATCTCAAGTGCGAAAGGAAAACTAGCGACCGTTCATATTTCAACCTACTGATGTCACTGCATTGAATGCACTGAGCAACGACAGTCGTTGGGGCTACCTAATAAGGACCTCCACCACAAATCCAATAGTTATGTGAATCATGCAGATAGGTATATTGTCCACTTAGTTGGTCATGGCGTTGCTCACACACCCCACGCGTTCTTGAGCAACTGGTCAAACATGCTGTCGTCTGCAATGGCTCGGGACACGTCCTTGTACACATCCACAAACTCGTGGAGCGAAACCAGTCGCGCCGGGTCCTACAGCATCCCGTTCGTGTTCTAGTCCTATACACCGCCTCGAGGGAATCGACTTAGGCTGTACCTGCGTGGTCCAGAGGGTTAAAAAGTTGACAGGCTTGGACTTGATGGTCTGAAACGGCTTCTCACAGCCCTTGTCGTACGCTTGGCGCAACACGTTCAGTGTCACATCTCCATATGCGCCCGTGAGTCCATCGTACGTGTCACGTACAAGGGCCATTCGAGACGGCGACAGGCTGCCACCACGAATGGCGTCGATGAACGCCGTCAACCGAATAAACCCTTTCTTTCCCTACAAATAAACGCATGATCAATCCCGACTATTTCACTGGGAACCACGAAAGACACCATGAAAACATTGCAATTCTACACATATGTTGGCGCTGCCCTACTTCGTCCAGCGCAGACAGCAACACGTCGTACTGATCGTCGCGGAGCGCGGCCTTGCCGCTACTGCTTTCCAGCGCCTTGATGGCCCATTTCAAATCCTCACGCTCCATGAGCCCTGTGGTCTTGGCGTCGATAGCTTGCAACGAGTGGACCAGCGCACGAACGTGGAACACACTCGTGCGGGTCAAAGCATCGACGATCAGGTCCAACACAATGGCGGGTGTGGCTGGCGCTGGCAGCGCGCGGCTCTCTTCCGCGGCGCCCGGCGATGACCCCAGCGCGAGCCGCCACAGGTTGGGCGACTGTGTTTCCTTGGCATGCATGTCGGCTGACCGATCGCCTTGCCGCTCGTGGTGCAAGTTGAACGACTTGCTATGGTTCTTCATCGTGGCGCAGCACACTTCGGTTTCGTTGCCGAAATCGGTCGCGATCACGTACTTGGCGTCGGCGTGGAGAAGGATGCCCGTCATCTTGTGGATGAGGCCGACGTTGTCGTGCGTCGAGATGGGCGTGGACGTAGCGAGGAACTTCTCGGCGCCGCTGGCATCCCCCTTCGTAGCCACCCACAAAGTCGAGTTGTCTGTGACGGGGCTCAGCGTCACATTTTGGTGGGAACTGATGGGACTCATGGCGCGCTCGCTCTTGAGCGTCGAGCGAAGGTACAGCGGCGGGAGAAGCGAGTTCGTCGTCAAATCCACGCGCAACGCTTCGTTCGCCATCAACCGGAATGAGTCGCCGTATTTGACGATACCCGACGAGCGCTCGGACGGACCCACGAGAAGAAACGTCGCCCGGGCTGTCGCGTGTGGAGGACGTTGGCCCACACTCACGACGTACTCGCCAGACCCTGTGAACGTTTCCTCCCAAACGTCGCTGGCCAAACTCCCAGACGTCTGCACGTGCTCCACGACCACGTACGAGTTGTATCGCAAGAACCCGTCGTCCCAGTATGACACGGGCACTCGCCCGTTCGCCTGTTCCATCTTGCGACGATACACCGTGCCAAGGCCTCCCTTCTGTTTTTGCGCGCGATAATCCTTCATGCGGGCTTCCTCGAGCATGAGATCTTCATTCCAATTCCCAATGCGGGTCGTGGCACTGTACCGACCGGCGCCCACGAGTTGTTGCGGCGTGAATTGCATCGAATCCTCGAAATGGCGCGCCGTTTCACAAACCCAAGTCCATTTTTGGCATGTTGTTATCCGGCAGAAGTCAAATTATCCGGTACCATTGTTGAGTACTAGTACTATTATTAATAAAATAGTTACTTCGTAGTATTATTAATAATAGTACGGGTACATTACTACCAGTAACGTTACTATTTTAATAGTAACGTATACGTATAGTACTGAAGTACCATATAGTAAGTAGTAAGTACTATTAATACTGTAACGATTATTAATACTTCGAAGTACTACTATTAAAAACGTTATTACTACGTATTAATAGTACTGTAACGATTAGAAGTAGTTACTACTAGTACGTACTTACTATTAATAGTACTAACGTTATTAATAGTAGTTGCTCGAGATACGGGAATCTTTTGCTCTGTAAGCACTAGTAATATCTAAAGCATGGTTGAGGGCAGGCAGGACAAACTCTGTCAATGGCAGAAAATTCGAAAGCCAAATGAAATGGTTGGTTTTGTCATCAGCCCACACCTCCTGTTCTGATTCGAATGCGCTTGGCAAAGTAAACCAACCAATCACGTTAAATACTGGAAAATGTCTTGAATTACAGGGCACAAAACGGGACAAAAGCACAAAAAAAGGTCAGACAATGGTGGCGTCGGGTCCGCCGAGGTCCTTGAAGGAAGGTCGCTGGCGAACACGGCGATCGTGGACGGCATAGCAAGGGGCGCCAACCCGGCGCTTCATCGGAGCTCTGGGGGGGAGAAGGTATATCGCAGGAGGTGACGCGTACTCGTCTTCTTCAAACGATCGCGCCAACGATGACAGATCCGTCGAGGCGAAGCTGCGGCGAAGTGGCGCCGCAGACATTGGCATGGTGCCCTACCTGCGAAGAGGATTTTAAAATGGCCATTCGTCCGATGGTGGAAAACTGAGACGAGTAGCATTGCGTCCTACTGTGTTTGGTCCATGACATCATCGTCGCACTATATTTTGGTACATTATGCGTGTTGATGAGTTGATCTGTGTGGGTGCATGAACGAACGACTACGTAAGTTCTTTTTCGTTGTAAGTTTGGGGTCGCATTCTCGATAGAAGTGCGCAGCGCAATACATCTGATATTGGTATTGATATTACGCTGTAAAGTTAAAATCGCTCAGCGGGCACTAAATGGCCTCGGCCGCGTATTAGCTGCTTTTGGAGCTAGCGGACTTAACTACGCAGCGCAATACTGTACATCTACAGTATCGGTAAAACCAAGTGAAACGAGGGAATTCGAACGATTATCATTTTGTCGACCAATTCTTAGGTGATTGCTGGCTCGAGTGCCCTTGAAAGGCTTGCGACCACCAATTTCCGAAACAAGCTCCACGGCCCATGATGTTTTTCGGGGGCCTCGTTAGCCTTCACTGTATTGCATCATTCTCCATGCATGTCCATCGCAGTGTTGATGCGATGTTCAATCTCACTAGTCATAGTGGGACTTCGACAACTGGACAAGTGGGTTTCACATTTTTGAATTGCCCTTGACCGTTACAAGGTCGTGAACGGTTACGGTTTCACCATGACGACAGTTTCGAAACGAGTTTGCGCAACCACAAACGTGTACAGAAGCAATAGAATGCCCTCGTTCGTGTACAGTTTTGTACAGGCGGCGATACAGTGTACATATGTAGCGGGATGTTTCCTTGCCAGCACTGTACCACCAGTATGTACATGGTTCATCTTACGAGGAGATCGTCACGTTGCAAGGACAGCAAATTCTTGTGGTTCGTGTAAAGTGCACACTTTTTATCACGAATCGTGCTCATGGCCAAGTGGACTGGACTGCCACGTTCGATGCAATCGCTCCAGTTCTTGAGTCATGCGGCGATCTTCGAAAACATTCACCTTCGACGCATCCCGTTCGACCCAATAACATCCTTGCATTTAGTTTCCAGACCATTCAGCACTTTGACATGGCCATCCATCGGTACAGTTAGCTCGTTCATGCACTTATCCGCATGTATCTGACTTCACGATACTTTGGTGCACCCTTGAATGTTGGAACCAACTGACTGTGAACATGCTGCTGACACTCGAAGTTGACGGGCGTACCTTCGATTGGTAATACAGTAGCCCAAGTCCCATCTTGACGGAGTATGTACTGGATTGTGGATGCAACACATTGTCTACTACTACTACATATAAGCAGCACTACAATAGACTGTATGCAGTCGTGGTGTACTCGTGTAGGCTATGCACTGCTGGTCCATGTTAGTTATCGTGTGTTTGGGCTTCGCAGCACAATGGTTTCGACGAAATTACCTCTATAAACACATACTTTTTCGAAGTGTTGGGCAATGATTGTTGGGATGATGATTTGATTGGCTACGAAGTCGATGAATCGAGCTGTGATTGGTGGAACTGAATCACACTTGACCAGGTGTGGAATCTCAACCGTCGACGTAATTTAATGGCCCATCCTCTGAATCATTCCAAGTTTGTATGCAATGTCGCCAGCGTGAGAAATATTAGTTCACTCTGAGTGCGTATCCACCAACAGGCGATTCAAAGATCGGTCGGTACCTTGTGACGCAAGTACCTTCTCATCGCGGCAACGACCAACGGATACGACGAACACTGCCGCCGCCACTCCAGCCATCCACCCCCTTCACGGCCATCGCCCCACAATACACTAGCCTCCTCCCAACGAACTCAACCAGACCAGCATGCAGTGGGCAGCCACGACAACGTTGAAGCCAGCGGCACGCAACTATGGCACGCTTCAACCCATTCCAGAAGAGGATCACGAACTGTCCCCGATGCTTCGAGCCAACTACATGAGCCCCGCCCTGCGGAAACTGTCCTACCGACGCCAAGATTCGATGCCATACGCGATGAAGAACGGTTCCACGACGTTGAACCCGCGCGCGTTGGTGTACGTGATCTCGGTCCCGGCCGTGCTCTTCCTCTTCTTCATGTTCATATTCATACTGCGCGCGAACGCCCCGGCGACGGACATCCTGTGGCGCGACTGTGCGTTCGAGCCATGGCAGACGTCGGACGCGTGCGACCCTACACACGCGTTGGCTTATCGCGCGTCGTCCATCGTCGCCAATCTGACGTGGGAAGAGAAGCTGTCGCAATGTCGGGTCGTGCAGAACGAGTTGCCACAAATGAACTTGTCCACGTTTAACTACTGTCAGGAGGCCAAATTCAAGAAACTGCTCCAGGTACATACATGTGTCATTCGTGTGCTCAACCTGGAATTGATCTCATGCAGAAACAACTACCTTGTCGTAGGTGCATCCTGTCGAGTTCGCGCCCATAGATATGACGTCATCCTGCGAGCACTACTACTTGCGAGGCCCGCAACCACCACGGCGCACTCTCAATGCCACCGACTGCAAAGCAGGTACGACTTCCTCATGTGTTGGCGGGACCTGACGACTCTTGGACATGTAGCCGTGCACGACTTGATCCTAAATGGCGTGCTGCTGTCGTTGTCCCGCGAAGATGTCGCTACATGCAGCGGCTTCCACTACACGTCCACGGATGTGTCGACGTTGAACGACGTGCTCATGCGACTCCTTGCCGGCCGCATCCTCGCCGATGAAACCCAGGAAGTCACGGCGGATGGGATTGAGCTGGGCGCCCCCGAAGACTTTCATGCCGGCCCCAATACCGCCAGCGGTGTAACACTATAATCGAGTAGCATAATTTATGGATGTCCTGTATCTACTCGTGTCGGTAGTACAATGTACTCTGGTGTATAGGAACAATACTGCGACGAATATAGACAGACACGTTCAATGGAGATGACCAATCCTGACATACACCAACTCACCTGTGTTGCTTGGATGTCGAGTCATCCACCTGTACGTGCAAAGAAACGCAGCATAGATCGATGCATCTGACTACTGTACCGGTAGAGGAACAGGGCGATCATCCGTGGGTCCGCGGAGCGCATTGCGAGTCGGCAGCGTCATGCGCGTGCTACAGTTCAAAGCAATCGTGTCAACAGAGCGAGGTTCGTTGCGTTGACAGACGTCAACCTATGAGCGGACGCACCTAGTTGCGATGTACATACATGCCGTAGCGTATGCCATGAGTCGCCACGTCCACCCGCCACCTCGTCCATCCTCCTTCCTGCAGCAATAACTCAAATTGCACCAATCGAAACGCCTGCCGTTTTAAGTGGTTCAGTGGAGCCTATGAAATTTGATTGGCCAAAATAAATCGCCAACAATTCTATCACCAAAACTCAACATGAATCCACCGCTGCCGCCAAATTCGTTGGGCCGCGGAGGGTATCCACCGTACCCGAAACAGCCACCGCTGCCACATGAAGATCACTCGTCGGCAACGCAATACCCTCCTCATGCCCAGCAGCAGCAGCAGCATCAACGCCACCACCAACAGCACAACCAGCACCACCCATCCAACCACCATCATGCGCCATATTACCCACCTCCTCCACACCACCACAATCACCATCAACCCCCTCCCTACCAGCAACATCGCAACCCGTATCCAAACCAGCATCAGCAGCATAACCACTATCCCCAACACCACCGTCAACCACACCACGATCCACACGTGCACCCGCCGCTTCCAGGCTATCACGATGCCGCGCCTCGACATCAAGGACCTCCTCCTCCAGGGTATCACCCTCCTCAGCCACGCATGGCCTCTGGTCGACCCGCGCCGCCACCTCCATCGTATCCCATGGACCGACCTCAATCATCGTATAATGCGCCGCCGCCTCCGCCGTACCATTATCCTCCACCGACCAACCCTGGCGGCATGTACCAGCCGCCGATGCCGTCGATTCCGCCCATGTCGTACGTGTGTCGAAAGTGCAATCTCGGTGGCCACTGGATCCACGACTGCATGAAGAAACCCAATCAGCAGCTCAAGCAACCGCCGACCAAATCGCAGCAATCTCACGGGGACTGGCACTGCGAGCCCTGCGAAAAGCACTTTGCCATGAAATCTCAATTTGACGCCCACGTGTTGACCCACGAGGCGTGCTGGGTACTTGAAAACAACACCAAAAAAAGCTTTTTTTTCATCTTATTTCACCATTAGGCCCCTGGGTGTGACTTTTCCGCGTCCAAGCGCGTCGTGACGAGCCACCATCAGACCGCGCACGGCCAATACGCTGGCTCAGGCCTCAAAGAGATTGAAGTCGAAGGCCAGAAGTTCCACGGTCCGAGTTTGTCTGTCGTTGATTCGTCACCAGAGTGTTGTACGTGTAGTGTTGGTGGGCAATTCCCCAGAAGACATTACGAAATGGCGAGAAGAGCGACGCAAAAAGTGGCCTTCGGATGCTAACGTCAAGCGCAAAGTACGTGTAGATATATATATATATATAGATAGAGAGAGATAGATAGATAGATATATTCACACATATATATATAGATATATTCACATATATATATATAGATATATTCACCTAGATATATATATATATAGGTTCACGTCTAGAAATGAATATAGTTTTTCACGATATATATATATATAGAGAGAGAGATAGATATATTCACATAGATATATAGATAGATATATTTATATAGATAGATATATTCACATAGATATATAGATAGATATATTTATATAGATAGATATATTCACATAGATATATAGATAGATATATTCACCTATATATATATAGATAGATTCACGTCTAGAAACGAATATGGTTTTTCACCTTACGACACTAGAACGATCAACACCAGGACCGTGTCCAAGCTGGAGATGTTACCACTGCATCTCCATCATCGAAACGACAGAAAAAGACACCCACGGACAACTCCATTCCCATCAAAGTCGATATTACCCATGTAAGTACGAGGATATTATAATAAAAAGGAACAGGATATTGTACATAAGAGGTTCATTTGTCATAGAAGCCACCCCACGAACCCACAGATGCGTGGTCCGGTATAGACTCTATCGTAGACAACCCAACGACAGCCACCAGTCCCGCCAAGACGCCAGCAGTCAAGAAGAAAAGCTCCAAATTTTGCGTCAAATTCATTCGAAATGCGTGCGAGGACGGGGCCAACTGTTTGTTTAACCATGACATTGAGGTACTATATATCTCGCCGCTGAATCGAATCACGAATCGACGCTAGTATTGGCGAATATCCATTTTTGAGTGGATTTGATTGGCTCTTACGGAAACGACAAGTATATTCAACCAATCAGAACAACTCCAGAGTGATTCAATATTGATTCGACAAACCACAGTCCAATCGAATAGTGGCAGACAATCGACTAGCCAATGAAATTGCTTCAATCCAACATTCCAACCAATGGTAGTCCGGCCAAGGCTTTGACCCATTTGTCCCAGTTGAACTATTTACATTCAATTTTCGTATGGTATACATTGTATGGTATACAATTGTGCTTGGAGTTGATTTCTCGAGTAAACTGCCGAGTCCAAATTTGGTGAAAATGACAATATATCTGGTTGGCTACGTCGGCCGATTCTTCTATATATATATTTGGTAGTTCGTTCCAGTTTTAAGCATATTAACAATAATAATGTCTTGCTTGTCGTAGTCGATTCCGTGCAAACAATTCGTGGCCAAAGGGACTTGTAAGCGTGGAGATGAGTGCAACTTTGCCCACACTGGGGCGCTGTCGACAGCTCAAGACAAAGCCAAGCAGCAGTACCTAAAACTGCAAGCCACCCAAGTGAAAGAGCACAAGAGCTCGCTCCTCCGCAAACTCCTGGCCAAGGACATCGACAAGGAGCACCGACACATTTTGCAGGCGTTTCGGTACCTCGTGGAACATCAGTTTTTTCAACCCACGCCAGACGACGACGTTGAAGTATTAGAATAGCCTTGTCGTGAATACAATTAATAGTACAATATGTACGGAATCACTAGACCGTTGGCCGTAATTAGTGTGGATTACTACTAATACATACATTGAATTTCAGAAATTTGGGGCTGGTAATTCGTGCGAACCCATTTCGTGCCATATTGTTTGGTGTTTCGGTTGTATGCCACGATGCCCAATTGCTCTAATAGTCATAGTAGAGACCCTTCAAGTGTAGTGTAATCACCCTTGTACATGCATGATGTGTCTGTACTATTATTAGTTATTGACTACTGTTTACACCAATTTGTGACTTTTCATGACAAATCCCACATACACAAAATAACTAACTCTTAAAATTGGTGCGGCCGCACTAATTCTCCCAGCCCATAATTTGATTGGCACTTACAGAAAAGACAAGTATATTCACAGTGTCAACCAATCAGAACACCAGCGTGATTCAATACTTGACTACGTAACGTTGAATACTAGACTACAATTTCTTAGTCCAGGGTCCTTTGAACAGACTCGTGAATGGATGGATCCTTGACAGTGAATAGGATAGACTAACGTTAGAAGTAATCTACTGGCTACAGAATACAAGTGTGCTCAGGATTAGGTGCATCCTAGTGCTACAGTGTATTACTTGGTGGATAGTCCAATACCCCCAGTGGACCGACCTACGCGGGCGAGGTCGGCACGTCGGTCGACCTCCCGCAACTGGTTGGCTTTGGCGAGGAGGGCTTCGATGCCCACGGTGGGTTTAGACTGCAGGGCCGTAAGGCACGTCCCAAAATCGGCCTGTCGATCCAGCAGTGCGTGCCGGTGCGACAAGATCAGCGCCACACACACGTAATGGACAAACGCAAACCGCTTCGAGTCAGCTAAGAGCGCGTCCCACAGTCGTAACGTGTCGTTCATTTCCAACTCGTGCGCCAACAGTGTAATGTACCATCGGAAGCTATAGTATTCAGGGTGCACGCCCAGCGAGTTCTACGGTCACCATATTCTTGTCAGTGTATTCCTTCAATAACATGTACGGACCAGTTGTAGCCACACGGTAGCATCATGCTGCCGTAACAGCGTGTGCAGCCTTGCCATTTGCACCTGCACTCCTGTTCGAGTGGGTTGATGCTTTGAGGTCAAGTGCAGAGGCGCGAGTAGGTGCATGATACATTCAAAGGCGGCAAACGCGTCGGCCTCGGCGTGTTGCGACCACGCCAAGTCGACGTCCGTGCCGAACACGTACAGCAGCGGCGCCAAGATCTCATGCATGCCTTGGCTGTACCCAATGTCCTCGTGGGTCTTTGCAAAAAGGAACAGGATGCGAACCATCCAATCGCTGGCCATGCCGTGCAACGAGAAGAACGGCAGGGCCACGTGGGTTCGAGCTACATCCTACATAGTTTGTCGTGGCGAAGGAGTTGAAGGTGGACATGGGTGGTGTGCGCCTACTTTTTGAATATCGTGCAGAAGGGTCTCGTCTTCCTTGACCAGGTCCCGTCGCCGTGTGACGACGTTCAGATTATGGTCCAGGTTGTTGTCGTGGAAGGGGCTTTGGTCACGAACGAGGTGGGAGTAGCCTGCGCGTTTGACGTCCAACTCGCGTGCCCATTCAGTGGGATGGGGACCTACAACATGCAGCAGAACTCGCCACACCATCGGCCGATCGCAGCCGTCGATGCCGTCCAGGGCAGTCGCTCGCCACGCGTCCAAGTCGACAGCGAGGTCTTGATCAAGCACAGACGATTCGCGCTTCGACTGGGAAGCGTGCGATAGGTCGACCTCTGGAGTGGGCGAGTAGGCCAAGTGGTTGCTCATGCTGAGTTGGCAGCACAATGCACCACCACAATGAAAAATATATGAAACGGTTTCCGCAACAAATGATAAAAATCTACTACGTAGTACTAGTATATATTGTGAATATATGGTGCCTCGTGGTAGTTACAAAAGCTGAAATGATTGATAGATTATACTTATTGTGCTTTTCACATATTTTGGCTAATCTGGGTATAAATACCCGCTTTTAACCAGTGGGTGACGAAGTTTTAGATTAATTCAACTTAGTTTTAGCTAATCGGAAGTACCTATGTATGATTGGATGAGCAAGAGCTGTTCCTGCAGCATATGTTGCTAACCTGAAGCGTTTGCCCATTTCATTTC